ACGTAACGTATACTGTAGTATTTCCCTAGACTTTCGTATAGCGATATTTTGTAGATCTAGTGACTTTAGGTGATTTTGTTACAGAAAAACTAGACAGCAGACTTGCACTAGTTAGATAAAACTTCTAGAGACACTAGGAACATTTCGCGCTGCTGAATCCATGCGTGACATAACCTAACATTAAAACGGATGATATGTAAACACGTGTGGGTATGTACTAATCATTAACTGATTTCTTTTTTTGCGAAAGAAATTTATATTCTCAGATAATTCTAAAAGTTTATAAATATTACAAAAATAACGTTTCGAAATGTTTATCGGCAGAAGTAATTTTAGTCAAAAATTTAGACAAAAATCTTAGACATGTGTCAGTAATTTTAGGTTAGTAATTTGTTGACGTACAGTATATGTTTTATTATTACAATAATACGTTACTGACTTTTAATTAATACTAATAGACAGAAGAGAGCGAGAAAGGAAGAAGGTGTCAGTATGTCGTCTGCGATGGATGATACAGTGAAGCACAAAAGTCACAGGGACCGCAATGCAGGCCGTAAGGCGGAGAAGAAGAAGACCAAGAAGGAGCATGTTCAGGAACTGTCAGACAAGCAGAGGAATCCAAAAGCATTCACTTTCAATTCTGCGATCAGAGCAGAAAGGAGATTCAGACGGAAACAGGATATCGAAACCAAGAAGCAGCATATACCTCTTGTTGACAGAACGCCTTTGGAGCCACCACCTGTCTTGGTGGCTGTAGTTGGTCCACCGAAGGTGGGAAAGTCGCTGGTCATTCAATGCTTGATCAAGAGCTACGTCAAACAACCGTTGACCAACATACTTGGTCCAGTCACCGTTGTGTCAGGCAAGAAACGAAGGATCACCTTCATAGAATGCAACAACGATGTGAACTGTATGATTGACATCGCCAAGGTGGCAGACCTGGTGCTGCTGCTGGTGGATGCCTCCTTTGGGTTTGAGATGGAAATCTTTGAGTTTCTGAATATATGCCAGGTACATGGTATGCCCAGGATTATGGGGGTCCTTACTCACTTGGATCTCATAAAGAATGCGAGTCAAATGAGGAAAACCAAAAAGACGTTGAAGCATCGTTTCTGGACAGAGGTATTTGCTGGCGCAAAATTGTTCTACCTCTCTGGATTGCTGCACGAGGAATACCTCCGTACGGAAATAAAGAATCTGGCGCGATTCATATCAGTCATGAGGTTCAGGCCCTTGACTTGGCGTACTACTCATCCCTATTTACTCGCTGATAGATTGGAAGACTTGACGTCGCCAGAATTCATCAGGAAGAATCCAAAGGTTGACAGAAATATCTGTTTGTACGGGTATGTGTGTAATAATTGAGTTTTCCATTTTGAGTCATACTTTCAAACTGATTGCACTTGAAATCTGTAGGGGATAAAGGAGATAATGTAAAGATCTGAGAAATATACTGTCTGTTTTATTAATAAGAAGTTGGCTTACCATTTGTCTTTAATACAGATTCTATTCTTGTTGGAACGAAGTCATACATACTTGATTAGTGTAGCAATTACTACAGTTCAATATTGTATCATTCCCTTCTAGGAGAACATCTTCTAATCGCTTAAAAGATATTAGAGGAAAAAATCTGTTTCTCACTCTAGTCTTCAAACCTACAAATATGTAAATTAGGTGATTGCATTGGCCAGGAAAGATGTTGAAGTTTTAGAGAATAGAGGACAATTTTGAAAAATAATGTGAGAAGAAAATTTTCTGCAATATCATTTATATATTCAATCAAAAAATATTTTACTGAGAGAAAGTACATTTCACTGATAACTATTTCATTAAAAACAAAATGTGTATTAAAAGCACATGATAGGTAAATCTCTTTTTAATAAAGTAAAGTAAACAGTATTTCCTAGGCGTTTATATTATTTTGCCTATACCTTGTATTTTAAAATTAATTGAAATTTCATCTGTGTCGAAATCTTAATTATACATTTTAATAACTGACTGAATTTATTTCCAGATATGTTAGAGGAATACCTTTGAATAAGGACACATCCATTCATATACCCGGCTGTGGAGACATGAAGGTCAAGGATGTAAACTTTCTGCCGGATCCATGTCCACTTCCAGAGCACATTAAAAAACGAGCCCTAGTGGAGAAGGAACGGCTGATTTACGCGCCGTTTTCCGGAGTTGGAGGCATAGTTTACGACAAGGACGCCGTTTACGTGGAACTGGGCGGTAGCCATTCGTACAAAGAAGAAGACACAGGTTTGGCTGGCGCTCTAATGGATACGCAAGAGACGCTGGACGAAAAACTGCAGCACAGCGAGTTGAAATTGTTCAGCGATGCCGCGCCGATAAAATCGCAAGATGTGAACGAAAGTATGGTTTCTTATACAGGCGAATTGGTGACAGAGAATGCAAGAGTTCGACGAAAAGTGATATTTAAGGACGAAACGGACGTAAAAAATGTTTCGAATAAAGATGATGACGATAATCTGGTAAAACATGAGGACGAAGACAGTGAAGATGACGAAAATAATGAAGATGACAGTAATGATGATAATGACTACAATGATGATATGGACGAGAATGATGATGATGAAGATGAATGGAGCGATGTAGAGACTTTAGAAAAAACTGAAAAGGGCGTTAAAAGAAAAAGCACTAACGAAGGCAACATACAAAAGAAAAAGAAAAGAGACTCGGTTAATTCAACTATTGAAAATGATGTAGATCTCGACGAGTCTGAGTTAACGAATGATAAGAAGATAGATGCTCCTCAAGAAAACGCAGGAGTGTATCATTCTCTAAGTAAAGAATCAGATAAACTGATAAAAAATAAGATCTCGGAAGCATTGAGTCTTTTGGAAGCAACAAAGAAAAACGTGAAGCAGGACGTTGACGATGAAAGCTTCGATGAGCTCAGCGACGAGGACTCGCGAGCGGGTTTAGAAATGGATGCAGATCGGTTCAGCGATTTCGAAGACATTGCGTTCGAAGAAGAAGACAAAGGAGAAGAGAAAGGAGATATCAAGATGGATGAGAGCGAAGAAGTTCCGGATGAATTAAAGTGGAAGAGGAATTTAACAGAGAAGGCGAGAGAAGCTTTCATAAATCGTCAGCAAAGCAATAAAAACTTGATGAAGATTGTTTATGGAGTATTCGACAAAAGTAATATGATTGAAGAGGAGGAGGATAAGGAAGACGAGAAGCTCGATCAGAATATCGGCGGAATATTCCGCGTGATTCAGGAGCAGCAGAAACAGAAAATCCAGGAGCGAGAATTGCAGAATCAGGAGGAGTCGGTATTCTTCCCGATGGAGAGTTCGATCGATTGGCTGAAGGAGGAGAACAAAGCGTTGTTAATTAACCGTTTCGTTACGGGCAAGTGGAAGGAATCGGAGGACGCCGAGGAGCTTTTGAAGCTGGACGACGAGGATCTATACGGCGACTTTGAGGATCTGGAGACCGGAGAGAAGCATAAAGCGGAGCATCCCGAAGAGTTGCCGGCGGACGAGATGGAGGAGAAGAAGGAGCTCTTGGAAAAGAAGAAGAAGCTGAAGGAGCAATTTAACGTGGAATACGACAATACGGAAAAGAAAACGTACTATGACGAGCTGAAGGATGAGGTAGAGAGACAAGCTAGTATCAACAAGTCGGAGTTTGAGGGATTGGACGATGACATCAGAGTCCAATTGGAGGGCTATCGCCCCGGCATGTACGTTCGCGTGGAGATCGAGGCAGTGCCGTGCGAGCTAATTACGCATCTCGACCCGACATATCCGATCATCATTGGCGGTTTGTTGCATGGTGAGGAGAACATCGGCTACGTACAAACGCGGATCAAGAAGCACCGATGGTATTCAAGGATCCTGAAGAGTCGTGATCCACTTGTATTCTCCATAGGCTGGCGTAGATTTCAGTCGCTGCCGATTTATTCTAAACTGGAGGACAATTTGCGTCACCGAATGTTGAAGTATACGCCGGAACACGTGGCATGCATGGGTCACCTTTGGGGCCCGATAACGCCGCAGGGTACCGGAGTTCTGGCTGTGCAGGACGTCGCGAGCAAAGAGCCAGGTTTCCGTATCGTAGCGACTGGTTCGATCGTGGAGTTGGGCAAGAGCACGGAGGTAATGAAGAAGCTCAAGCTCATCGGTGTGCCGATGAAGATCCACCGCAAGACAGCGTTCATTAAGGACATGTTCAACAGCGCCCTTGAGATCGCCAAGTTCGAAGGTGCCCGAATCAAAACGGTCTCGGGTATTCGCGGTCAGATCAAGAAGGCAATCTCCAAGCCAGAGGGCTGCTTCCGCGCCACGTTCGAGGACAAGATAATGTTAAGCGATATAGTGTTTTGTAGGACATGGTACAAGATCGATGTGCCGCGCTTCTACAACCCGGTGACGTCGTTGCTACTGCCACCCGCGGAGAAGAGTCGGTGGCGCGGTATGAAGACTACGGGACAACTGAAGCGAGAAAAGAATATCCATGCCGAAGCTAATATGAATTCGATATATACACCGGTCAAACGAGACGTTAAAGTATTCAAACCGCTGTTCATTCCGCGTAAGTTGCAGAAAGAGCTCCCATACAGGGACAAACCCAAACTTGAGTCCGTGCCGCACTTACGTAAGCCCAAGTTCAAGCAAGGTCGAGTTGCCGTGGTGCGCGAGCCACAAGAACAGAACATTGCGCGTATAATAAAGATGATCAGAACGAATTATGCGCAAAAGCAGAAGCAGTCGAAGAAGGCTATGACGAAGAGGATAACGGCGTACCAGGCGCAAATCAAGGAGGAGGAAGACAAGAAGTTGAAGAAACAAAAGCAGATGAAGAAGGAAATCTTCAGGGATCTTAGTAAGCTGGAAAAGAAAAAAAGTCGGTAAGGTTTCTGAGGTAGAATAGATTGATATTTCAAAAAATTTAGAAACTGTATATAATTTTTTCACATACAAATGTATAGCCCGAAAAACTGAAAATAAATATATGCATACTTAATCGGAATGTTGAGTTTATTGAAAACGTTTGCACATAAGTTACAATTATTATCATATATTATCAAATATATTAGTCCATACAAAATATAATAACAATGTTAGCCGCAGCGTTTCTACAATATAGCTTGCGATCCACGCCACGATGTGATAGTATGATGGCCTGTCGAATAATTATCTCCGCTCTGAAATTCCATATATCTATATATTACACCAATTTGAATGCCGCTTGTATAATATTCATTAAATATAATAATTACATAATTCATGAATATATGTATATATGATGATTCATAATAAACATTTAATTACGTATTTTGTTTAAATTGTTGTATACAATTAATTGCAATTCTCTCTTTAATGTTTACATACACGTACATACAGGATAATTATATGTAACCTTTACCTGTGTGAGCATTAGTAACTCGTCTTGTGTGTCGACAATTTTAACGGGAAACGGAGAACCTGGCACCAAGACACCAGCCCAACGAACCTCCACTCTGTAGTCCCCGGGTTCCGTCGGATCGTACCGACAGAGAATGATTCGGTCCTTTTGAGTCTCCCGCTGCATCTCCACCCTGAACGCTCCCTTAGGTCCGCGTACTCTTACTGTAAGTTGACCGGCACCGGCGCCTCGCGTGTCGCAGATAAATCGCGATTGGAAAGTCGCCAACACGCCATGTTCAATACCCGGCCCGTAGACGCGAACCTAATAATTTGAGCGTATTAATTAATTTAATTAAAATTTAATTTTGATAATATATACACATCTCAGTGTCTTAATAGTTTCATTAACCGTAAAATCTATCCTATTTTTTAAACATATCAATCTTGATGATTAGAATTCGCTAGATTTTAACTGGAAAAATTTTTTTAATTGAAGGTACTTTATATTTTTTGCTAAGGCTGTATTTATTGGTATATTTAGGATTTTTATTACTTGTAGTAAAAATTGCAATGTGTTCAAGTATTAGGTACCTTAGAAGCATCTGGGGCTCCGGAGACGCGTAACGTGAATGGAGAACCGGGAACGTGTTCTCCAGCATATTTGATCGTTAGTGCGTGCCGTCCCGCCTCTTGAGGTTTCACATTTAACGTGAAGGTAGCATCGCCATGATCGTATAGCTCGCAGTATGCTACTTTATGCGGTCCAACGCAATGTGCTGTTAATTCACCTGCAAAACAAGTTCTCGATTAAATGAAAAGATATCGAAAGTAATAATTACTTATCACAAGTATAAAACGAGTCTTTACCTGGTCCTGCTCTTCTGGTATCGATAAAACTTCTGATTTCTTGTCCAACGATACCGTGTTTCAATCCATCTCCGGAACAGATAACTCTAGACGCGTCGGCAGCACTTGTAACATTAATTTGCAATGGACAGCCCTTCAATTGCCTTCCATTCCACGATACAGTCATCAAGAGTGGATCCGGCGTTAGCGGTATATAGCTTGCACGATAGACGCTATCGCCTGTTTTATACAAAGAATGTTTAGACTCGCCTTTTATTTCTATTTGCAACTTCGTTTGTCTTTTTTTCTTCTTACCTAGATGTTGTAACATGACATTAAGTTCACTGGTGGGTGAAAATAATTGCACTTTTGGAGTTCCGTTGCCGGCTTGAGAACCGTCTATGGTAAAACTGACTTCCTCGCCGCACTTGGCCGACGTTAATCCTCGTCCTTTCAATAACACTCGACTTGTATCTTGCACAGGCGGCTAGGAAAAATTTACAATGATTGTAAAATGTTTAATTGAAAGCGCGTTTAATCCTAATTGGTATTTATTCCGAAATTGCTTTAATTGCAATTCAATTTAACAGTTAAATTGATAATGATAAATCATCATTTGAATTATTTTCACTCATTTCTATAAATTGCCACTGCTCTTACTCGATATGTCGTTAATTTAACTAAAAAAATGGAATTAAACAATTTTAAAAAATGTATTATTAAAAATTGGACTGAAATTTAGTTTATTATTTACTAAAATGAATATGTTAATAAGGACACACATGGAAGTTAAAAATAACAAAATGTTATTTTTTTACTCAAGAGATTGGATTATATATACCATTGCTCTTTTGATATTTAAGAATGATATTTACAGAATGATATTCGTAGATCCACTTTTGTATATACATTAAATTAACGTATCTTTGCTTAAAGTTAACGTAATTGAATTTTTTTTCATTGTAGAGATCAAAATTCGAGGAATAAGATCATGTAGTTTTAATTATGTAAGATTATGAAAAATATTTGTTATAAACAATTTTTTACAACTTAATTGAAAAAAATGTCTAGGTTTACTGGACTCGCGAATGCTAATTAGAATTAAACTTGAAATCGTTAATGAGAAACCTCCAAATCCTGCACAAGTGCGAGCTTCGGTGCGCCGGGAAACGGTGTGCTGTTGAACAGTATCTCCAAATGATGTTCGCCACTGCTCATTTGTGGCGGAACGAGCTTCAGCCTATTGCTAGACGTCATTTCAAAATTGAGAGGATGATCACCAACGGTTCCGCTGATTTCGCCTGGTCCGGCCTCCGCGGTGTCAAAGCTGATTTTGTTAGACGGATGCAATCTCAAGCGACCAATCTCGTCGCATACAGCGGACCAACCACCTATAATCATTGCGCATATATTGTAAGTTCAAAAGAAATACCACCGTTGCATTAATCTTTAAAAATCTTTTCGATCCAGCCTTTTTCTAATGCTTTTTCTATTACTCATAACTTTCTTATTATAAAGATACAGACATTTGCTTGGTTCCGTTATATTCCTTAAGGTCTGGTGTTTCAATTGAAAAAAAAAATTGGTAAAATGTTTATTTTTATGAAAGTTATAAGTAATCAAATTGAGTTGGATATGTCATACACCAATGTGTTGTTCTCGTGAGGTATTTAAAGATTAAATGACATTTGAAGTATTCACCAATGACGCGAAGATTCCGCGTGTCGATGATCTTCGGATGCCACGGAGATCCCGGTAGCTGTTGCCCGGCAGAAACGACCCTCACGTCGAACATTCCGATTTCGTTCGGTACATAAGACACGTTCCACGTACCGGGATTGGCTCCAGCTTCAATGGTGGCCTTAGAAACACTATCCGGTCCATCCACCTACAGCCCAGATTTTATTAAAAAAGAATACCGTACATCCCACGCATAACTTGACAAAGCGATTTTCTTAATTGTACGCAAATACCTGAACTGCCGGCGGACTTCTCGTGCCGGTGACAATAAAATGTGCTGGTTTACCCACATGACCGCTCAGCAATCCTTCGCCTTTCGCGCGAGCTTGCCCGACTGCGTCGACAGTGCATACCACTGGAGTACCAGGCACAGAGCATCCGCCTATCGATAACAATATAAATATAATGAAATACAAAGAATGCAAGAGACTTCTTTCTTAAAATTAACCTTCTGAAGCTGACGTCAAAGTCTATAACAGCTGGGTCTGTGAGACTCATTTAATTTATGTTAACTAAAAAGTATATTAATTTTAAGTAGGCTCAAAATGTCAATACCATAATCCATAAAAAAGAATAAATTCTAAGGCCAGTATTCATAGTCCGTTCTTATTTTAAGTCTTTCTTATTTCCATCTTTTAAACAATGTTTAATATAGCTCTGTAATTGACGTATGAAATCTTTAAGGAGGGATATCTTTAAGATGAGATATTTCTATACTTAAGACAATCCTAAATATAGGAACCAACTATGAATATCAGCCTAAGTTTATTCTAATAACAATAATTTAAATTTGCAGATGTAATATAAAGAATATAATCGAGTGGGCCTAATAAATCCACCGTAATCTCCGTAGAGTTAAAGTTTCTTATACGCTTAAACATAATTACCATAAGTAACGTTGATCATGTAGGTGCCGGGCACGCTGGGCGAGAACTCGATCATCTCGGCACCGTCGTTGAGTGGAGTGACTTGCAACGGGATCTCTTGTCCCGATGGGCTCGTCGCTGTTACGTCCAGGTCGGCAGTGCCGGCGTCGGCTTTCATAACTGTAATCATCCAACGAATTACGTAAACTATAATCCGCGATTCTTCCTGATGTTATTGTTGAGCGGTGGTGCACATAAATTGGTACCGCGCCGCGCACGATGTGTATCGTGACTGTTCATTATGCGCATAACGCAAGACTATTTGAAAGTAGTCTACGTATGCCTGAGCTATCCGCTGCGATTATATCCCAGATGTGGCCTTGAAACGTAGCTGCATAGTTATGCTGCACTAGAAAACGCTTGCTACTTTCTCCCGCCTATGCGTATGCAGCACATTTACATAAGCGCGCTGGACGCAAGAGATACACTTACGTCTCGAGTAAGTGCGATATTATGCCTATTCGCACGTTTACGTTCGATTAATCTATAGACGATTACTTAGCATTTAACATGACTATTCGCTCTTTTCTCTTAACCGATAAAACTTCATTCCGATCGTATCGCTCAATTTAGGTGTGTCAATACTTTCTTTCGAGTGAAAACAATCTTGTTCACATTATAAATAAAAATCAATTATGTGTAATCATGCGTGAAAAATATTTTTAGAAAGGCAAAATACATAACAAATATATAACGAATACACTATTTAAAATTTATATTAATTATATCTTCTTAAATAATAATGTTAACTGAATAAAATTCATAACAAAATTTATTATGTCTTTTTTATAATAATCTATTTTTGACGCATGATTTTTGGCATTTGTTTACTTTTACGTTAAGCTTGCTAATAAATAAAGAAAACATTAGCAATACTTTTAATTCGCAAGTTGCTATAATAAAATTGTTATAATTACTGAAAATGTGTTTTATGTCCGTTTGCATATATTTAATCCAGGGTTACTGTTTATATTAAATTTATACGAATCTTTTTCATATTTTATTATATTTTACGCGTAAACGCACATCCCTGGTTTAATTTTCCTTACTATTGTATTGATAACGCATATAGAAAATGTATGTAATGCACGCATTGTAACTCACGTTTGAATGCGATGTGATCATGAACGGAAATCGTCATTGGACCCAATTCCTGAAGCTTCACCTTAGAAGCGTCGAAAGCTTGACAGAAGAATGGCGAGCCCAGCACCGGCTTCGCACCGTGTAGCACGTCGATTTTATATGTGCCTGAGATAAATGGTATTTCAATTTCACTTTCTCTCAAAACATTCCACATGTTAGTTTTCTCTAATCTTACCGACATTATTCGTTGTGAATTCAGCGAGTAGATTGCCGTCGCGATGTTGATAACAACGTACGGGTACGGCGTTACCCTGAGGACCACTGATGACTACATCAAACTCCTTGCCAGGACGTCCGAGAGTCTCGATCGTAAACGATGTTACTTTTCCGACGCATGACTGATACAGGCCTAATCCCGTTGCTGTCACTTCCCGTCCTCCCGTAGGACCACGCACCGTCACGTCCAACGGACTCCCTGCAAGTTAATGTATTATTAAGCTAAATTAGAATACATCAAGCATTATTGTATGTACATTCCAATAAGATTCTTATTGATTAAAATAAGTATATTTAAATTATGATAAAATATTTATAAGATACGTAATATAATCTTTGATAATTTCTAATTAAAGTTTCTATAATACACTTAGTATAATATAAATAATTCCATTGAAGAAATATAAAGATGCAATACCAGGAATATGAACTTCGTTGTATTTTATGTGAATTCTGTGAGGCGCGGCTCGTGTGGGATGGAATATAATTTCATAGACACCGTTTTCCCTTTCTCTCACCAGACTGTCCACATCTGCACCACCGGCGCGAACATTAACAGATAATTTACCAGGACCAGCTTCCTTCGATGCGACGACTGTATAAGAAAGAATAAAATGCTGTTTGTATTTTTATTTCAGAAATAATTTATATCTTACTAATAAGTCAATATTTATTAAATTTATTACTAAGGCTAAAATATTCAAATAATTACCTAAAATAGTTCCTGGTCGATGACAAACCGCGTCCGCTATTTCCTTGATGGAAACCTTGCCGGGATCAAAAGCTTGGAGCGTTTGTGAACTGACCATCTTGTGTCCGTCATTGAATATTATGCTATATGTTCCTACATGTCGCGTTCGAACTTCCACGCGATATAAGCTGGACGATAATTTGGTTAACGTGCTCGGAATGATTATTCCATCCGGACCTGAATAAAATAAGGAAAGTCATTAAGCATGTCATAAATAATTAAATTTGAAAATGATATAATCACAATTTAGGCAAATAATTTACCGGTTACTTCCGCGGATACAGGACCGTTCAAATCGGACATGTCCAGATCTATATAAGCCGTATTACCAACTCGAATCATTGACGGACCATGTAACATGCCGCTAACGACAGGACATTTAAATGGACTTCCTAACATAAAGAAAATAATATAATGAACCTCTTTAATTTTTCAAGTCAGTTTTTGTAAATGTTTATTAATAAAACCATTCGCAAACCTGGTACATTGTCGTCGTTGAAACTAATATTAACATAATGTGCATTCATTGTTTGTGGCACGAACGTGACGTCGTAAAGACCACGAGCGCAAGCTACCACCTCGGCTTTGACGGTGTTATTTTCCGTGCTCACCACCAGCTCCAGCGTTCCTTCGCCGGCTTCTGCGGCGTCGACGGTAAACGTAGTTGCCTGGCCTAGCAATGCCTCCGTGAGACCGGACACATGTACCTACAATAATTACGATAGCGTTGAGTGTTTGACGTTGAAAACATTTAACACATTTCAGTCACGCAATTCGGAACTTACTTTAGTTACATCATAAATATTGCAAGCAAACGGAGAGCCTTTTATCGATTCACCATCCACTAGAACGCTGATGTTGTGTCTACCTATTTCCGTAGGTACGAAGCTCACATTGTATTTGCCGTCAATGGGCTCGATGGTGATAGGCAGAGCAATGCCCGACGGTGGCGTCGCAATAACGTCGCAGTTCGTGGATGGAGTTTGGGGATCCACGGTAAAGGACATTAGCCGCTTCACAGCACTCATCTTCAGATTATGGCCGGAAATTGTCGCTTGACCCGCACCTACTACCTTGCAGCTAAATGGTGAACCTAGAGAGATATTAACATTTAAAAAAAACTGAAAATACGACCAACAAAACTATACAATAATACAGGGTGTTTTGAATCTTAATTCAAAACTTTGAGAGTGTGTAGAAGATCGATAGCAAATCTCTAAAAAAAATTTAGAGATTTGCTCGTTTTTGTTTCGTTTTGTAGAAAATAAAAGTTTTTATTTCTTCACTTTTTACTTATTTATGCTTATTTACACTTATTTATTCATATTGTAACTTTCTTAATGAAAGTATTGTACAAAATGATTTCTAGGAACGATACATATAAAACAAATTATTTTTTACCTGGAACTGGTTCTCCATTGAAACGAACACTGAGACTATGTACAGCGGCTTCTTGTGGCTTAAAATTAACCCTGAACTTCGCGTTGCCCTCGCTTTGCACGTAATTCGGAACATTTTTGCCGTTCACTGCGACTATGATCTCCAGATTTCCAGCACCGGCTTGACTGGCGTTGACTAGAATGAAGTTGTTACACATTTTACATAACATTGATTCGTTGGATTACCAAGAAAATTAAAGAAAATGATCTTACTGCTGAAGAATATTGGTTTCCCGACGACTCCGCTATTTATATCCGTCACCTTGACTTTATCAGCGTTGTAAGCCTTGACGAGAAACGGGCTGCCTTCCACGTGCGATCCACTGAGTTTCACTTCAACGCTGTGATCGCCTATATTGCGAATAATTAATTTAAATATATATTAATAATAATAATTTTACAGTCCCACTTAATTTCCGTATACGCACCAACATCTTTCGGAGTAAATCCAGCAGTGTAGGTGCCATGACTATTCTGCTTTATGTGTACAGATATGCTCTCCCTAGTGGGAGAAAGCACCTCGACGACAGGTGTGCCGAGAGATGCGTCGGCCTCTATTGTAAAGGTCGCGACACGATTCACAGATACTTTCTCGAGTACCTCGGTTACCAGTACTTTCGCCGTATCGCTGATCTATAGTTTTGTTCAACATAGGTGTTAAATAAAATCTGGATCCTCTTACATTATATAACGTATAGAATTATTAAGATAATTTTAATTTTAAATAATAATAATAGAACACTCTCAGTTTATCATAAGTTCATGATGTAGAACGAGAAATAAGATACCTGACAATTGAAAGGACTACCAGGCACGTCCTCCCCGTTAAAACGCAAGTCTACGGTATGTACGATCGGTTCTCGGGGTGTGAACGAGATCGCATACGTGTGAGGACCTTGCGCCTGTGCCGAGGTTTGTACACGTCCGCCGTTTACGGTTACTTCCAGATTACCTGGTCCCGCCTGACTAGTCTCGACTAGAATGTAAAAAAACGAGCTTTACATCAACAAATTCGTGCATGGAAAAAATGGTTTTGCTAAAGTATCTAAAAATTTAGCTAGATACAGATTTGGAAATAATTTTGTTTGAACCATCAAAATATTTTTGTAGAACGCTAAAACTGATTGCTAAAATATTAAAACTTTTTGCAGCATTATATCAACGCTTAAGCATTCTACGTATTATTTTGGTAAGTCAATAAAATGATATTATTCAATAAAATTAGTTTTAGATCTATATCCAGCTCAATTTTTAGATACTTTAACAAAACCGTTTTTTCCGTGTGTATAAACAACTCATTTCGTAGATACAATTGTATAATAAAAACGCACCTAAGAAAGTTACAGGCATTCCAACGACACCACGTTTCGCATCCTTTACTTTTATCGCGGTGACATCATACACCTTACAGCTGAACGGACTGCCGACCACTGGGATGTTTCGATAGCTCACCGATATTCGGTGCTCGCCGACAACTCTCGGTGTGAACGCCACGCTGCATGTCGTATCTTTGTTGTCAGTGACCTGAGCAGGTACGGCCTGTCCATTGGGTCCTATCAAGTCCGGCGGGTTAGTCGTTTAATATCATTTAGAGTTCAGCCATCTACTTGGGGTGGATCGTAGGGTCACTGGAGCGGCCAGCGAAGAGATTCGCGCAAGTCCGATCGCTCTCGCTATTGTTATGTATGACGTAAATTCGCAAACAAGCAACGTTAAAGAAAGCGGATGATTACGCATGAGAAATGGCTATGGATAAATAAATTGTTACTATGACTAATAGGAGAAAGCCGTATATTTCGTCTTTATATATACGTTATACTTTTAGTTCGCTTCAGCTTGGATCGAACGCGCTTGGGGAAACTAATGTAAAATCATCCTCTAATACGTTTCCAACATGCTTGGCTAAGCAGAGCAACCGGCAGAGCGAAGATACATTAAAAACAAATTATTTACTAAGTGTTATCAGATAGAAAAAAATATTTTATAACAGTTCTCCGTTCATTTGTGAGATTGAACGCGATCATGTAAACGTATGCTAGTTGTACATGAAGAAATATTGGCACTTGTTAAGGCATTGTGTGTATTAAAATCTCAGTTTATAGAAATATGTATCTTTGCATTGCAACGTTTAACGATTATGCATAACTTAAAGTAAATATATAGCACCATAAACATGGCTTTGACACAAGTCAAATACATCTCGCGAGTACACAAGAGAAGTGGGTGATTATGAAGGATTAAACACAAGTTCCATAGCTCTCCCACAATCAGTAGAATTAAAATAATAAAACCCAAATTAAGCGCTCATAATATTCTCAAATGGTAATCAATAAATACAAGAAAAATGTGTGAGTAGAGGAAAGTGCGATAATTAAACTACCCTTGTGCAAAACTTTTGAGAACATTAAGTTAGGAACACCCATCACCGTGTGCATTAATCCATAAATTAAGATAAAAGGGAGATTAGTTTTTCTGACAAGTCTAGTAATGTCGTAGTCTGAAAGCTGGCCGACCTGCAACAGAGAGAGAGAATTGCTCTCAAGCTAGAGATTAACGAGACACTGATGAACAATTTTGTACAAGTCTCCACGACAATTACGTCGACATTCGTGACATTAAAAACAAAACAGGACATCCCTCTGGTATTAAATACAAGGTAAATTAATACATAGATGCTTTCGTGCACCTTTGTGGTGACATATACATATATGTGTGTGTGTGTGCATCTGCAGTCAGTTTTGTGCATTTACATACATGTGTCACAAGTGTATAATGTTCCTTAATAGAAATATAAAATTTTGTGAGCAAGCATCGATAACGTATATTTCGAGAAAACCTTATTTGTACAGAATACTGTTAAAATATAATTTACAATCTCTCAAATAAAGCAAACATACGTGCTAACAAAATAAAATTAATTTGTAACTCGTGCGTATTATAGAACGAATTTCATGCAGCGATAATTACCTTCAACGTTAACTTCTAAATCTTCCAAGCTACCGGCAACGTTACTGACGGTCAAATAGCTTTGCCGTCCCAATCCAGCGCTGCTTAATGCCTGCCCACTCACAGTTACATGACTGTCGCCGCCTACCCTTGTCACTATGGGACAGCCAGGCACGGTTTTCTTGTTAAAGGCAATGTTGATAACGTGCTCACATGCCTCGAAAGGTACGAAGCTGACGGAAAACCGTGCATTTCCTTGAGGTGTTACTTGTGTCGGTATGTTTTGGCCGCGAGCCGATATCGTGATCTCCAGATTTCCTTCACCAGCTTGACTTGCATCGACTGTCGACAAAATGTATTACGTCAATTAAACTCAAGTTCGATGTATTAGAAATATTTATTGAGAATTAAACACTTATTTAATTCTTGACGCTACTACGTACCTGTAAAGTGAGTTGGTTGCCCGACACTGCCTCTAGCTACAGGCCCAATTAGCACTTTATCTGCGTTGAATGCTTTAGCCAAAAACGGCGTACCATTCACGGGATAGCCATTGTATTCCACGCTAATTGAATGTACTCCCACTTCCTTCGGTATAAATTCCGCGGTGAAACCACTGCTTACATTACCAGTGACTTTAACTGGCAATTCACTGTTTGGTCCTAAAGGACAATTGTTTAGAAAATCCATAATTATCTAGCAAGTTATAAGATATAATTATCTGATTACATGGCATTATTATAAATGTATAAATATGTTATTGAGGTATTTTTAACAATCTTGAAATATATTATATTATAAGGGAATATTAAAGGTAATATTACAGAAATTATATTTTTTAAATTCCCACTGTATTCACAGTAATAAATACTTGATGCTATAACTTACCCCTTACATAAACCGCTAGTTCTGCGCTGCCGCTTCCGTCGACTCCCATGTGGAAGCTAGCAGGCTGCTCGACCGGAATCAGTTCTAGATGATTCAAACTTAATGTGACTCTACTCGTGTCTGACACGTTACAGACGAAAGGACATCCACGTACTGCTTCTCCATTGAACTTAATGTCGATATAATGTGGCTTGGCGACCTCGGGAGTGAAGGACACGAGGCAACGGCCACCGCCTACTACTTGAACGTGATTGGGCACCTCTCCCTCATTTATGGAAATCTCTAATTGACCTTCTCCAGCAGCGCTGGCATCCACTGTGTACATATTACAAATTTAAAACACATTCATAGATGTAATCCTGATAAAAAAATTCTTAGAATACCTCATAATACTTTTAAAAAAAAAATTCGTATGTACCATATTTTATAAATTTATGAAAATTTTTGAAAAATACTTTTAATTTCTTCTTTCAGATTTTATAAAATACGAATTATAGAATGAGAAATTTTAGAATATATTTCAAAATTTACATATATAAAAATTCTAGAAAAGATGTAGACTTTTTTAGAATTTATAAAAAGTATTCCAATTCGTATAAAAAAACTGAAAAATTTTTTAAATCATACAAGAATTCTAAAAAATTCTGAAATTTATATAAAAATTTTGAAAAATTATATGAAAAATTCTAAGAAAAATTGACGCCAAGGAAGATATAATTAATGTCTTACCTCTGAATTGACAGGCATGTCCGACTACGGCGCTAGGCACGTCAGTAACTTGGATCAGACTGCTGTTGTACACCTTGGCGACGAGGGGTCCTGCCGGTAGCTTTTGTCCCGCGATGCTGACTTCCACGAGGTGGCTGCCCACTTCGGTTGGCGTGAACTCGACGCGGAACTCGCCGGATCGTCCGGGCTCCTCGTCAATTCTCGCAGGAATGTGCCTCTTCGAAGGTGCTGCAATTTACCCGATGTGTCAACCACCCTTGCGTATTGTTGTTTTGAAATAATCAACAGACTGATTCATTAATTAATAAGTAGACTCACTTATAATCTGAACGTCGATCTCGTTGCTGCTAAAGCCTAATGCAGACAATTCGAAGAGGGCGGGACTGCCAGCAGGAACCAACCTGATGGAATCACCGATAACTGACATCTTTGGTGCAGGCATGATGCCGACTCGCCAAGGTGATCCTGACAATTAGCAATTAGCACACAATCAATATAACAGTTTGATGTAAAAGACATTTCACAAACGTCTATCTTAGTATTCAAAAGAAATTGCACATAGCAATTTTGTTGTAGATCAACCAATCAGTAACTATATTTTATATAATTTTTCTTATATTTATTTCTACCAATGTAAATTAATTTTAATCTCAATTTAACTTACTTTTGACTTCCTTTTGATTGTAAAGATTACTTAGAAAAAAAATAAAGAGTAAATTAAATCGAAATTAAAGTTAATCTACATTGGTAGAAATAAACTTTAATCAATTTTTATTTGACTTTGCATAAAAAAATTCTCAAAATAGCTCATATTTTTCAGCATTTGTGTTTATCACATTTTAAGGACCCCATACACTTCTTATGAAGTAATCGGTTTCTGTTAAATTGGCTAATTTTTTATATCAACTTTTACGATTATTAATTAATGATTTGGATACAATAATAAAGACTATTAAAAAATTATTAGTTTATCTCTTTTAGACTAGACTCTTTTAGAGTCTAATCTATTTTGCTTTGTTAAGAAGGTCCGAAAAAGGCTGGAAAGTTGCAAGGAAGATCTAAAAAAAGTATGAAAAAAATTTCTTATGTAGAAAGAAAACATGATTTTTGTAAAATACACAGTTTTGAGCAATTTAGAGCTTCGTAACCATAAAAATTGAACTTTTCTGAGGTCATTGAGACTTTTGATCACCATCATTTTAAAAAGCAATCATATAAAAAATTTAATTAATTTGACAGAACTGGTTTCTTCATAAGAAGTATGAATCCTTTATGACGATTTCTGAAAAATACTTAAATTTATAAAGATTTGTGAACAATAAATTTAACAAATTTAAATTTCAGATTTCATAAGTTTTCTTTAGAAGTTATAGACTTAGAAGTTATAGAGTTGTTTCACCTTTAGATAAATTACAGTTTTAAATAAAACTGTTTTAAAAAAACAGCTTACTCATTCTCTCGCTATTGTTTTGTTCATTAGATAAATGACTACATAGTTTATCCGAAGGTGGAAACAACCGGCCCACAGAATGAAAAATTTTTAAATGTCACGATTTTAAATTTCCCGCCAAATAATTATCCCGGAATATTACATAACGTTCTTTGCAGCCGTCGCCAGGTTTCACACTTCCTGCACTTGAAGTGAGGTGAATGTATAATTAAATATCGATGAGAAAAAGAGAGAAAATAAACAGTTCAGCTATAAATAACAAACTTAAAGTTGTTACTATATGGTGCACTTTGTAGTTGCACAGTATATTTTCTGCACTCAAAATAAGATAAGTATATAACGTAATTAGACGCCGAAGAGGAAAAGAGGAAGAATAAACGGTGCGAAAGGTTCCATTCCAGCTTGCAAAGAACAGGTTTCTGGAAGCAAGGTGGATTTCGGAATGTTTCTCCGCGAGACAGGCGTTGGTCTGTCAGCCAATTAATGACCGTTTCCACCAAAGTAAATAAACCTTAATCTCGGATCAACTTATTAAGAATATTTTATTCTAATTTTTAAAACTTAAAGAGAAAGATAAAGAGTGAATTAAACCGAAATTAAAGTTAATATACGTTGATGGAAATGAACATAAATCGTAAATCTGTTCGCGTTGCTTGACATCCTCAAAAATTCCAAAATATTTGCACTTAAAACGAAATAAATATACAGAGTGTCCCAAAATTCGTAACTCAAAATACTACAACAAAGTAGTTCTCGAAAAATTAAGTAAAACAGTTACTTAAGTAACCGTAAATTTTTATTTTAAACAATAACTTTTGAGATAACAAGAGTTTAAATATAGCCACAGATAATGGGAGTTTTCTAGCAAGACACGTTGTTTAACATAGTAGGTGCTTTCCAGTAACGACACAACACGACACAAATGTACACAGACAAGAAGCTGAGGCTTGGGTGTCAAATAATGGCTACCAATTTATTTAGAAGAGATACAAAATTTCAGTGTGCTGTCAAAATTTGACAGCATTATTTAAACAACTGTACACAGTGTTTCTGTAACTAATATTACATTTAATTCCCCTACAGCACAAAGTTGCACAAAAATTGCAGCAATATTGCAGAGATTTTGCAGCGATATTCCTGCAAATTCTGTGCTGTATGGGTTGTTTCCTAGCTGGAAAGGTCCTACGTTTAAATGGCCACGTGTCCATGAGTCGTGTGCGGTAGTTTAGTGAGCGCTGATAAACGACGCACTTCAGTGCGTTTACTAATTTACTCACAGCACCTTTTAAAACATAGTTTGTAAGGCTGGAATCAGACTACGCATTGAAGATTGAGATTGAAGATTAAAATTTGACCAATAAGGACAAAGGAATTTCGCTCCTATTATTTTGATTGGTCAAATTTCAATCTTTCAATCTTCAATCTCAATATTCGATGCATAGTCTGATTCCGGCCTAACTGGTCATATTTAAATCTTTAAAGTCGGAGCAGAGATCTTTGCATAAAGCATAAAAAAGTCAACCAATCAGAATCTTTTATTCCATGGAAAAGAAGGAAATGAAGGACTTTGATCGATTCATTTTCTTATGCATTATGCATATTATGAGTTATGCAAAACTCTGTTCTCATCTTTATATACCTCAGGAACTATTGCTCAAAATAAAAATAAAAAATGATCTTTTTCACTTGATTCTTCGAAAACTTTCTTGCTGTAGTATTTTGAGTCATAAATTTTGGGACATCCTGTATATTCAGGCGATGAAGAGAGAGAAAGCGAAGATTTTGAATGTAAAAAAAAGTGCAAGCAACACGAAGACCTCGCGTCAACGATTCGGCGGGTTAAAGAGGCAATCGGGTACAATTTTTGCATCACGGGTGTCACTTCCCACGCTAATTTTCGCGCGTAAACAACAGTTCTCTCGCCCTGTCGCGGCGCACCGTTACGCGGATTCGTCGATTATAATAACAGTACTCCGATATAGGCCGCCGGTCGGCCGCCTCGAATCGAATTCCAGATCCCCCGGAAGTGCAACGTGATGGCGAGGGCCAGGTGTTCCCCCGGGTTTCTCCCTATCCTTGTCTATCCTTCCTGCAACACGTACCGATCGACAATGCTGTCAGAAAAATCCATCTAATTTAATCTACATATATTGGTGGAAATGAGCGTAAATCACGAGTCTATTCACGTTGCTTGGAATCCCCAAATATTTTTACACTTAAAACGAGATATAAATATGGACGCTTTCTTAATAAGGAGACACAAATCGACACAAATTAACACACTCGAGCACTGCAGTTTGCGGGGGTGGAAAAAAAAATCCGATCGTTCGCGTAAATAATCAGCTCGCTCGCGGATAAAGATGCGAGAGGAGCCGACGGCAGCGGGGAACGCAGGGGATCGCGAGAACCGGTACGACTTCGGGGGGAGCTGGAACTCTCTCGCGCGCGTCGGGGAGACGCGGAAAAACGGGGCCCCCGATCGTGACGTTTCTTCATTGTCCGCAGGAATTTTTCGCAGGAGCGAAAGCGCACGGAATTCACCAATTTACCTTGGCGGCTCGCGGCGCGGGAGAAAACCTGGAAAGACGCTGGAAGAACCTAGATCAAAAAAGGGGAGAAAGGGGAAGAAAGAGAAATGGACGGGTGGATCCGGGTTGGTCTCGCGATCGGGCATACGACCGAAGGGAACGACGACGACGACGACGACGTTTTGCTGGCGTGGACAACGCTTCCTTCGACGCGAAGAGGAGCGTGAGACGACGAGATGGTGTCCCTCCGTCTCGAGGCCACGCAGTACGAGACACTACGGGACGACGATCGCGATGTCACGGTTTCCCGCATCACACACACGCGAAGAGATCTCTCTTCATCTCTCTCTTCTTCGGGCCGAACGAGTGGACCCAAGCGAGAACGACACTCGAGGTAACACACCCACGGCGGCCACGAAACGAAACGAAAAGAACGTGTCGGAGTACGTCGGAGAGCGAACGTGGATCACGCGATCCGACGCAACGCGGCGGACTCGACAGACTCGACCGAGCCGAACGACGGGACGAGCGTGTGTGCTCGCGCCGCGGACCACCGCCGCTCGGGGCCCGGGCCCAGGGCCGTACGTTCCGCCTGGTGCCGCGCCGTGCAGGAGTCAGGGTATCTTGAAACGAGGTGAAAATTACAAAAACGAGCAAATTTACTAGAATACCGATAATTCCATTGGTCACCTAGTAAATTTGCTCACTTTTGTCATTTTCACCTCGTTTGAAGATACAGAATCGACCCCCAGGTAAAACAGGGTGCCTTCCAATGAGAGAGCCAGGGTTGACAAACGTTTTCAATTACTTTGTCGTTACTTTTTATAGTAAACAATTTGATGACGATGCTGCAATTTTTTGATGACGATAACGCTAACTAAACGCTAGTACTAAGGTTAGAAAAGTCACACTTTGAAAAGTAACTTGTCACTATTACGCGTTACAAAAAAAAAGTTATGAGTATAACGAGTAACGCGTAACGTTACGCGTAACGTTACTCGTTACTAAAAAGTAACGCGTTACAAATTAGGAGTTAATTTTTTCAGTAAACGATTGACTTTTCTAACTCTGATGTTAGCATTACCATCATAAAAAATTCACAATGTCATTATCAAATCGTTATTATAACAAGGTAACGATTAACAAAGGCGTTATAAGTATATATATACTTATAATATACAGTCCTGTATATACTTATAATATATAGTACTGTATATATACAGGGTGTTTCCAAATTAAATGGCAAAACTTCGGGAGCGTGTAGAGGAGTAAAAAACTAAGAAAAAAAGTCCTATAGACATATGCTCGTTTTTGCTCCGTTTCAGAGAAATCGAAAAAAAATGTTTTTTTTACCTGCAAGATTAAATGGGGACCGTTTTCTAAATTTCTTGGAGAATGAATTTTCTGACTATTTAGAAAACATCCCATTACAACAACGTACTGAAATGTGGTTTCAATTAGATGGATGCCCTGCTCATTACAGCAGA